ATTGTTTTACACTAGTAATTTTTGGGGCCCTTTATAGCTTGCTGTTCTGTGTGAGCCAAGGCTCCGTGTTGAAGACCGTACTTTGACCTATAATGGTTTACTTTTATAAATTTTGACTTGGATGGAGAGTTGTCTCATTGGCACTCATAACACATCTTCTTATATCTATGCATAAGCTTGAAGGAAAATCTTAATCTAGCAGGTGTATCTTATCGTAAACATATTTATATATATGTTTATGTATAGCCAATGTTTATTGTCTTGGTAACAATCCTATAATTTTGGATTTTAAACCAAAAAATATCTTATCTAATCTTATCTTATCTTATACTGACGATTTTCTTCTTTATTCAGCAATACAATGCTGGGGTGGAAATAAACAATTCACAATTGACACGTCCTCCGGGATACGCAATCTTAATGCAAATGATGGCACTACTATACTAGACTTCAAATCTAAGTGAATATAGACTCATGTGCATCGAATTTGAAACTGATTTCTTCTTATCTTTAGCCATCCAACTGTCTTAGGTATGTTGCAGTAATGTATAGCCAGGTAAAATGGCGTTCCGACTACATGGAATCCAGAAGGAATATTTCGCTCCCTAAACTTTTATTTTAGCAGTCCTGCAAGACCGAAGAACAAACCCCAAAATAAATGTAATGTAACATAACAACGATAACAATATATATGTTCCTACAGGCATTTTCTTAATTTAGGCATTTTGTATATTGACTAATTTTTTCAGGCATTTAACGTAATACCTAGAAAAACTCAAAGGTATTTTACAAAATGCCTGAATAATTTTGTAGAATGAAATGTACACAAAAACTAAGCCATTGAAAGTATAGAACAACACAACAGTTTTATCTATGATAATAACTGAATTTTAACGCTTGCATTTAAAGAGATTTAACTATCAAAAATAAATTCAAATGAATTATTAAAAATTCCCACAAGTACTGAACTTGACAATTCTTTGTTATTTCATCAAATATTTGGCAGGTTATGGTTGCACATTTGTCCTGATTTTTTTTGGCAAATATATCGTTTGGCTTTAAATCTTGCCTTAGCACTACAACCACATTTGGTGAAACCCAGACCATGACATTTTCAGCTCTGTCAACATTTTTAAACGTTTGAAAAACGTGGGGTTTTGCAAACAGCACACGCATGAATATCTTCTTTTCGTGCGTTTCCAAAGGATTCGAAGTATTATTAGCGTGATAAGGTTGACTTACATCTTTTGGGTTATCAGAGCATTCACCATACTGAATCAGATTTGTCGCATAATTGGTGATGGGTGTGTAGCAGGAGACGCTTATATACCCTTTGGACGCACCTTGATTCGTTTTTTTTTGTTTGTTCATTGTTTTATTCTAGCATCAGTACACTACTTTATTCGTCAGGTTATAAAGACTTAAGTATGTCCTTGAGGCAGTGACGATGAAGATACTCATATCTTTACTTTACCGTGAACCAAACACGACCTTGTATGATGCAACCAGTGCTTTAGAGGGGAATTCGTTTTGTTGTAACATCTGTCCCTATCCAACATACTTTCTTTTCAAGCGGCAGTCAAAATTCTTGTCCTTTATCCGATCAAACCATTGTAGAACTTACCTATTTGATTTACTATAAATTTGTTTTCGTCCTAAATAAGCATAAAATATTTGCCACTGAACGCAAACAAACAACAATCAGTCAATAAATTCCATCCTTCTTTTTTACTACTTCATATTTCACACTTTTGTTTTGAATGTAGATTTTCTAAACAAATATTTGTAAATTTTGTTTTATAAGAATAATTTGTCCTTTTGTCACCTTGACATGAAAAGCCATAAAATTACTATCTGAAATACAAAGTAAGTTACTTAAAGTAGTATACTGAAAAAAACCTATGACATACCTACAAACGTTTCCATTTGGTATTTGAAGAATAAACTTAATTTTACCGTACAATGAGTTATTTTCTTTGCAAGATATTGTGTTTTGGTCATATCTCAATGATACTCTTTGCTACAAATTACCTGAAACTAAATAGGCAATTTGTTGAATTTTACAAAATGACTAGGTATTTTTAGTCATTTCATATAATGCCTGTCAAGGTTAGGCATTTTGTAAATTGCCTGAAAATTCAGTCATTTTACAAAATGCCTAAATTAACTAATTTCTGCAACATTTATAAGCACAAGCAATAACAATTATTATAGTTGATTAAGACAGTAATAAGTGTCCGACACGTATTTTTAAATTATTGTCCAAACTGTCACAGAGAATACATAATTAAATGAATAGACTAAATGAAATTCAGTCCTTTGAACTAATCTGTGTAAAACACTTATGTCTAAAGTTACGACAAAGTCCAGAATAATAAAATATGAAATGAATGGAGAAAAACACTTGAAATAATAAAATGTTGTTTGAAAACTAATTTCACACTTCACAGTACAAATAGTCCGGTCATAAATGGCTAAAAGGAATACAACAACACAAAAAGGGACACATTCAAATTATCTGAACTTTCCCCCGGAAGATCACAAGATTTATATAAACTATACAATCACTCAGGTTTTTTGGGGCGGGGGAGGGCGTGTTCGTTGGGAGACACCGGGTATGTCACTGGCTATAAAATAGAATGGACAAGGATCCTTTAGAAAAGAAAAAAATAAGAACAGTTATAACGTATTATTTGATAGGGCGCTAACACATACGTCTCCAAAACCCCAAACTTGTTGAGTGAAAGACCCGAGTAATTATTTGAATTTAAAACGCAGTAAAATCCATTTTGGAGCGCAATTGAACAGACATTGCCGTAGCTTTGGTTTTCCTTGACCTAGATGGTCTAGGGAGCAATTGCTCTGTCATCCTGCTAGAAAATATCGCAGTTTTATATTATCTAAACAGAAATTGACACCCTAAATATAGGTAAACCCGTTTCAGGGCCATTCGAAAAACAAATTCATCAATTAATGCAAAAAGAAATTTATTCAAAAATTATACTCATTCATAGGATCCTATAATAAATCCCATCATTGTTTGCATGAAAGATAACCTTATATGGCCTTGACCTTTGATGTTGAAGGTAAAATGATTTAGTTTTGTTTGTCCATCTCAATACCATATATATTCTTATTGCCACGGCAAGACCTTTAGAATGCAAATAATGATTTGTCATGAAGATCTTGAACTTTTACCTGAATGTAAGACTATATATTATTTTCGTGTCCAAACTTTTTTATCCTTTGACCCTGATGGGATAACAGAGGCATGCCGAACCACAAATTGATTAATACATAAAAATCCGTTAACATTTCCACCCATTAACTATATATGACTAGCCACGAGATTTCAAGGCTGAGCTGTGGGACCTCGGTGGCCGTATGGTCTAAGTAGTCGAACTACTGTATCACTAGCCTGTCAACACTGAGGTTGTGAGTTCGAATTCTGCACGTGGCAGGTGCGCTCCACTCCAAGATTGAAAGTTTTCCTATCGAAGTTCGGTGGTTCTCTCCAGGCTCTCCGGCTTCCTCCACCAATAAAAACTGACCGCCACGAAATAGCACAATAGTGCTGAAAGTGGCGTTCAACACCAATTGATGAATCGATCAATTCAGGCTGAACTATACGATTATTGATTATTCATCCAGTACATACTGAACGAAAACATTTCAACTTATTATGACAGATTTATTGAAATAACATCGAAATGGGTCTTTTTGTATATCGACATAAGGAGTATTCGAGGGCGACATTCGCAACATTCGCTCAAACCATCACAGGTCAGACACTGTATTTTTCTGTCAGCAGAATCTTCTTGTCCAGCGTACCTGATTAAAAAAAAGTAAACTTTAATTGAAGCGAGGATAAAACCGATCAAATCTGCGATGGTTTTAGTAAATGTTTAAATAAGCTAACATCTTAAAATCCGCGGCTTAATTTTGAGTCAACAGCAATACAAATAGTTTAAAGTAGTTTAAACATATTCGTATAGTTAGTCAACAAATGGGATGAGCATTTATCAGAAGAATTCCTGATATCTCGGCCTATAACAAAATCGGACTATAACAAACTCGGCCTATAACATAATCGGCCTCCCAAAATCGGACTATAACAAACTCGGACTATACCAAACTCGGACTACTAGAAGAATATAAGTATGATGTTTTATTTTGTTTTTATTGGAAATTAATTATCAATACTTAATTTGAAATTAATATAATTCACAATTAATTAAATAATTTATTTTGAACATTTTAGAAGCGAGTAATATAAATGACGTTAACAAGATATGTATAAAAAGAAAATTAAGAATACATTCATTTAATAATAGATAGTTATATCTTTAATGGCTATTGTTTATCTTTCTACAGGTGTATTAACCGTTTTGTCACTTGTTGACTCACAATTAGCTCTTCTCATTACTAATCTCTTTTCAAGTACCAAGTCAGGAATATGACAGTTGTTTTCCATTCTTTTGATGTGTTTGAGATTTTGATTTTGCCATTTTATAAGGGACTTTCCGTTTTGAATTTTCCTTGGAGTTCGGTATTTTTGTTATTTTATTTGTTTCATAGTTGGTATCATGTTGGATTTTTTGTTTGCCTGATCTGAAATATTATACACTGGACTTCAACCAATCAACTGCAAATAATCACAAATCTTCTTAGTTGTAAAGTAAAAATAAAAATCACATTAAATTTATATAGAAAAGGAAAAGTTAGGAACATCTTAAATTGTTATCAACATGTATAAGACTTAAAATATTTTCAAGAAATTGTTTCCTTATATAAAAATGATATAGGGAATAAACTGAATGGTGCTGATGTTGCAATTTATTCAGTATGCATTCCCTTGCAAGCCGTTTACACAGCGATCTGTATAAAGTCACTGGGATCACAAGTGTAGTTTATATTACATTTGTGTACTGATGATACTTAGGTTTTGGTTCGATAATATGTACATTTAACTATTTTATTTTTATTCTATTTAACCATAGGTGAACTATGAAACACATATTGAAAATATGTTTAGCAATGGTTGCAATAGCTGCAGTTGTATTATTTTTCACTTCTTGGGAGAATAGATCATTAAAAGTACGTATACATTTTTAAGTTCAAGTCTGCTTAGCTTTCATATTTAGATATCGTCGTATGAATCTTATTATGATTTCTCATTTTGCAATAGTGGTAAATATTTAAATCAAAGTTTTTTAAAGCTCAATATCATAAATATTTGACTGAGACATAAAAAGTTATATAGGAATAGAATTTACGTACACAAGGTAACTCTTTGTTTTTTAATAGATAAGCAACTTAAACAAATAAAGCATCCCTTTTTTGTAGATAGAACATTTAACTACGAACAATGTAGTTTTAGAAATTTATCCCTATATTTCCATTGGGGATAGACCATGGATTTTCTTAACTTAATAGCCCAAATTCTGTACTACTGGATTTGATAAGAATTGCTCATAGATTGAGTTCAAACCATGCAAACCATTTAATCATAGTACTACTATTAAGATAATTTTGATACCAGTTATTTAACAGCCAAAATGCATGTGAAATGGTAGAGATACAACACTATAAACATATTTTTCTCTGAACTAACTAGACGAATAAGCCATTATAATCCAATGGGAGTGTGGAGATAGAGCAGTGTAGTCTGACAAAAACTCGGTAGAGTGTAGAAATCTCTTATTGTAAATTGTATAGGAAGACAGACCATTGCACTTGGATCTCAAATATATAGCTATCTCTATTTTTATACGACCGCAAAACATTTTTGCGGTCGTATATTGGTATGACGTTAGCGTCGTCGTCGTCGTCGTCCGAAGACACATTGGTTTCGCACAATAACTTCAGTTTAAGTGAATGGATCTCTATGAAATTTAAACATAAGGTTTATAACCACAAAAGGAAGGTTGGGATTGATTTTGGGGGTTATGGTCCCAACAGTTTAGGAATAAGGGGCCAATAGGGGCCCAAATAAGCATTTTTCTAGTTTCATGACAATAACTTGTGGAACAGTGTATTGATCTCTCTGAAATTATACCACAAGTTTCCATACCACATAGGGATGGTTAGGATTGGCTTTGGGGGGTTATGGCTCAAATCGTTTAGGAATTAGGGGCAAAAAAGGGAGAAAACCAAGGTTGTCCTGGTTAATGGACAATTACTTAAGTACAAATTACAGTGTAAGGGAGGTAATTCAAAAACTACTCTGAATTACCTCCCTTACACTGCTTTTAAATTATGTATAAAGAATGTTTGTATTGTCTTGAGGTGATTAGCTGTCAATTTATTTTTAGAAGTTACTATTTTAATAATTTTAAAAATGCTGATTAAGGTAAATTAATTTTAGCTATGATTATGTATGTCATTTTCTATTTTAAGGCTTTTATGATGTATTTAAATGGGTTATTATGGTTGCAAACTCCATGGAAATTTGAATTGAAATTATGACCATGACTGAGGGAAAGAATTTTTTTTGGAAAAAGAGGGGGGGTGGTCAATTCGCAACAGCATAGTGTATTGCACAAAAGCAAAAAATAGAATATAAATTCAAATCATATAACCAATTCTAAGTTCTTTGACTACAGTTATTCTGTGTCAGAAACCTATTATGTGTCAAATATTGAATTACAATGCAAAATCAGACCTGTATCAAGCGCGAATATTGGGTCAATTTTTTCCCCAACTGTTCAGGGTTGGACCTCTGCGGTCGTATCCAGAGCTCTGCGCTCGGCGAAGCAATTTATTATCAAAAATGGACATATAACACTATAAGACGATATGTAAAGTAGAAACTTTGCAATGATAAGAATTTTAGACATTAGGATTGTTACCAAAAACATGACACAATAAAATAAAATATTTAACATTTTCCTTAACAGTTTTCTTCATGACCGACGCTCATTAGTTCATTTATTGACGATTGGCTCCATGAGCATCGCAAAAAAGTTGTGTTTCCCTCACAATGGCTCCATGACTAACGCTCAAAAGTCCATTTCCACTAAGAGTTGACTCCATGAGCGACACTCAATTCACCATTTCCCCTAACAATTTGCTTCATAAGCGACGCTCTCTAGTCCATTTTCTCTAACAGTTGGCTACAAGAGCGACGCTCAATAGTCCATTTTCCATATCAATTGGCTCCATGAGGAATGCTCAACAGTCCAATTTCCCTAACAATTGGCTTCATAAACGACACTCAATAGTTCATTTTCCTTAATAGTTGGCTCCATGAGCACTTTTAAGAGTCAATTTTCCATAACAATGGGCTCCAGGAGCCATTAGTCCATTTCCTAAAATAGTTGGGTTCATAAACAACGCGGTACACTCAATGGTCCATTTCCCGATTACAAATTTTGAATCCAAGTCAGTAATTCGAAAATAAACTATTGGATAACTCACAGTACTTTATAACGTTTTTAAAACGTAAAATGATATCTATATTTGGAACATGGAAGATATGTTGTACGCCTTAGTCCATGTATTTATAATGATTTAGTTATTTTATCGTTCTAACAGGATCATATACAGTATGCGTTCAACAGAGATGAAACGAAAAGCATAAATTTGACAGGACAAGTGAGTAATATATTGGATTCAGCCATGCTGGATCTATGTGATCACTCTGGATTTTGAGATGGTGCAGGATTCTAAGTTGAAGACATATCATGCAACTTATAATGTGTTTTTATAACTTGCAGAAACTTTATACACCATTTTAATCATCTGCCAACTTTTGACATGTTATTTGCCCTTGAATTGAGAAAACATCGTCGAACAGCTACTTTATTTTAAATATACACTTGCATATACATTAGTTCCTTTGTAAATCAACAAATTATAATTATTACTATTTATGAATTAATGTTGAAAGGTGAAATATCAAATTTAAGCAATTGGAAAAAATTATAAAAGTGTTTTATGAGTATCTTCTGTTTGTGTAAGGAATGGGAATAAAATTTAGAAACAAGCTGTGTATTGATATCAAAGTTGATGCTCACACTTTTTTTAAATACAACTATTCCAATTCTTTATTGTGCAAAATAAGAGTACTGATACAATACCAGTATTACAATTGTCATGATTTAAAAACAATTACATTCAAAATTGTGATTATTAAATAAACCAATACACTGCCAATCTTAGTTGACCACAGTTAATATTTTTGTATTACATAATTAAACATACTTTATTATACAGCTAAATATATAATATCCTTGACCTCAATAGTATTCCTATAATAACTTTTGATCCATACTACATAAGATTAGTCTGTTATATATGTGTCAAGGATGAATTTTTGAGGATTAATAAGATGATTTTTCAAACTAGAGACAAAATATAAAATATGTAGAAGAAAATGCAATCAAGGTATATTAATCAGTTATCTAGTTTAAATCAAGTTAAAATTTTCAGTAATTTGCTTAAAAAAACAATAAAAAAATGCATAACTGTAAACTCTAACCTGAGCATTTTCTGCAGTAATATTTATGTGTTTTATTACCATTATGTCACTATTTAACAGTATAAGGTATTTGTGCAGGTATATTGGAATACAGTTAATGTATTATTTTTTTTAATTTTTTTATTGAAGAATGAACACCAATTTTTTAATTAATACTTAATATTTTGTTGCTGTTGTTAAAAGGTACATTTTTAATGCCTCTTTCTGGTAATTCTTCTTTGCATCCATATGAAAATTATTAAATTAAAAAATGTTTAGAAAACAGATGTGAAAAATCAGTGCACCTTCTAAATTGTCCGTCAATATTGAGAAATTCTTCATCTTTGGCCATATCACTTATCCAAAGTTCTGATGGCTGTCTTGAAACGTTTTTCAGGAGTTGGTATAATGAAAAAAGATATTTAGATTGGGACCAGAAAAAAAATATCTGACTAGTTGAAAATTGGCTGAATCACAGCACTGGCGACGCTTTGATTTTTATACGACTGCAAACAAATTTTGCGGTCGTATATTGGTATGACGTTGGCGTCGTCGGCGTCGTCGTCGTCGTCGTCGTCGTCGTCGTCGTCGTCCGAAGACACATTGGTTTTCGCACTCTAACTTTAGTTTAAGTGAATGGATCTCTATGAAATTTTACCATAAGGTTCAATACCACAAAAGGAAGGTTGGGATAGATTTTGGGGGTTATGGTAACAACAGTTAAGTAATTAGGGGCCCAAAAGGTGCCAAAAATAAGCATTTTTGTAACTTCCAGACATAACTTGTGTGTTAGTGTATGGATCTCTCTGACATTGTACCACAAGGTTACATATCACAAAGGGAATGCTTGGATTGATTTTGGGGGTAATTGCCTCAAAATTTTAGGAATATAAAGGGGCCAAAAAAGGGGCAAAAAACAAGCATTTTTCTTGTTTCATGACAATTACTTGTGTGTAAGTCTATGGATCTTTCTGAAATTGTACTACAAGGTTCCATATCACAAAGGGAAAGCTGGAATTGAGTTTGGGGGTAATTGCCCAAAACTTTAAGAAATAAGGGGCAAAAAAGGGGCCGAAAATAAGCATTTTTCTAGTTTCCAGACAATTACTTGTGTTCAAGTGTATGGATCTCTCTGAAATTGTACTGCAAGGTACCATACCACAAAGGGAAGGCTTGGATTGATTTTTGGGGGTAATAGCCTCAAAATTTTAGGAATTAGGGGCCAAAAAGGGGCAAAAAACAAGCATTTTTCTAGTTTCAGGACAATAACTTGTGTGTTAGTGTATGGACCTTTATGAAATTGTACTACAAGGTTCCATATCACAAAGGGAAAGCTGGGTTTGAGGTTGGGGGTAATCGCCCTAAATGTTTAGGAATTTGGGCCCCAAAAGGTGCCAAAAAACAAACATTTTTCTACTTTCCAGACAATAACTTGTGTTCAAGTGTATGGATCTCTCTGAAATTGTACTGCAAGGTACCATACCACAAAGGGAAGGCTGGGATTGAGTTTGGGGGTGATGAATCATAAGGGGGTTCAAAAAATTTGGGGGGGGGATTGTATTTCCTTTTTTTTTCTTTAAAATTTTCCATTTTAAATTGATTATTTCTGATTTATATATAAAAGCAAATAATAATGATATGGTTTGAATAGGTAAATTAAAATTTTTTAAGTTCTTAGACCACATTCATTCTGTGTCAGAAACCTATGCTGTGTCAAATATTTAATCACAATCCAAATTCAGTGCTGTATCAAGCTTGAATGTTGTGTCCATACTTGCCCCAACTGTTCAGGGTTCGACCTCTGCGGTCGTATCAAGCTGCGCCCAGCGGAGCATTTTATTATAGAATGACTTCTAGATTTATTCATTTGCCATTGTATATCTAAGATATAAGGCAAATATTTGGTATTTTCTATCTCTCCGCTAGCACGTGGTAATGAAGAGTAAGGAGCAAGATTAAAGACGGGTCGAATCGGAATCAGAATAATATGTCCGTGTAATTTGATGTCTTCATGATGACTATTAACTTGTGAAATGGTACAAAAATACGGCTCTGCTCGTCGGTCTAGTACAAAGAAGGGTTTATATCGTTGAAGGCCGTACGGCGACCTATAATTGCTAACATCTCCGTCATTAAGTCAGTGGTGAATAGTTGTCTCATTGGCAGTCATTCCATATTTCCATATTTTATTTTCATATTTATCTCGCATTTCATGTTCTCGTCCTGAATAAATATTCCCCGTTTCCATTCTCAATTGTATCAAATTTGTCGATGGTTGTTAAACGACTATCCATCCATTCATCAATAAATATCCATATGTGTATTGTATAAAATACTATATATAATGTAAGACTCTGAGCCGCGATGGTACTCTGAACCGCGATGGTCACGTTGAAATGCGATGGTTTGACGCTGAAGTGCGATTTTGATTACGCTCAAGTGCGATCGTGGCATTGTGACTCTATCTTGTTGATATCTACGCCGAAGTGCGATGGTATACAAAAACTATATCAATGCTTTTCATGTCAATGTTGAAGTCAATTTGTTTGTTGGAAGCAGTTTTTCGGGTTTTTAAGTTAATAAGAGGCTTATAAACTTTTAATACTACGAGAAACGGGGTGGATTGGTGAAGAGGGGAAAGTTAACCTACTGTAGCGGATTTGTTTCGAAATCTCCAAACGATTCCTTTTTTACTTACGATGGAGCGTGACATTCTCTAAGTATATACGGGTCCACAGACAGATATTATCATATTACGGAAACAAGGAACTCATGAAAGGAACAAAGTAAATGAAGATAGAATGATAACGCAGAATTATGTTCACATGCAGAAAATCAAAGAGGTCCATCTCTCATTTAGTATGCAACTGTAACTAAGGACATACATAGACAATAATAAATGCAAATTTATATACTTGCTATTAAAAAATCTACTTCTCATAATAATGCTCATCTGTAGATTTTAAGCTAGCCATAACGCGTCATTTGGACCATCGCACATCAACGAAAGGACCATCGATCGCACTTCGGCACAGATAATTGCACTTCATCGTGACCATCGCAATCCAGCGTAACCGTCGCACCTCCGAACCCTACATATATATTGTTATTAGCGTAAACAATATAGTCAGAAAAAGACGCCGTGAGTAAGACGATCTCATATCTGCCCAAATTTTGTTGCGTTTAATAAATACGATTACTTGGTTGGTTGTTGCTTGCACAAAGTCAATTGGCAATTATTTCATGAATATTCACGACGAGTCAACAAATCAGATAAATTTAAACTTAACTAAGTATAGCTGTTCCTATATGAATATGTTTACAATATATATTTGATAGGTGACCAACACTCCTGTTGTAAAGCTTTGTCGTCGAGATGATCTCTATACATATTCAGCAGTAGCCAAGCCGAGTGCTGATTGGACAAAGTACACTTCGATCATCATAACATCATGGTGTAAAGGAAAGACACAGTTCAACTGCTTTTTATATTCTTCAAATAAAAATGTTGAGACGGTTAAAGCTACTTTAAGCAGAAAACGGTCGAATCACGGGCGACCAAGTATGGCTGCTTGTCAATATACATGCAAGTTGGATAATGCATACCACCAAATCAAGGGCTACCTCACTCAAGTCGGTCTTAGTCCGCTAAATGATATCCACAAGGACTCTTGTCCACAAATAAACAAAGTAATATATCCAACGAGACAGGCTGGTAAGATGGCTATATGTTCTAAAATGGCCTATGGCACTGAGAAACCAATTAAACTAATTGAATGGTTTGAGTACAATCGTCTAATGGGCGTAGATCGCATCATAACCATGGTTCAGTTGATAAATAGAGACGCATATAAAGTGCTTAAATACTACAACAAAACTGGATTGTTAGACATGGACACGTTTCCTTCTCCGTTGCCAGGAATAGACATAAGTATGTATTCATTTAAATATTTAATATTTGTACCTTTCTTTCTTGAAGATTTTGCTTTTTGTGCTCTCAATAATAGAGCATAACAATTAAAACTAAGAAAAACATATTTCTGCTGTTCAACAATTTTATCGTTTTGAAAATTGTTTAAGGTAGTACCATTTGATTTTTATGGGGGGGGGGGGGGGGGGGGGGGGGGGGGGGTAGGGGGGCTAGGATGAAATTTGAAAAAAGGCAGGACAGGAGTTTTGAGTAAAAAAAAAAGGCAGGATTAGCAACTTTGCAAAAAAAGGCAGGATGACAATTTATGTAAAAAAAAGTCAGGATAAACTAATAAAAAAAGGCAGGACCGAATAGAGCGAAAAATAAAAAGGCAGGACAGAGATTACAACTAAAAAAAAGACGTTACTAAGTTGAAAAACTTGTGTCTAATCCATTTGTCATTTTTGAACAATAAAATATGTTTAAACTAACTAACTAAAAAAAATACAGGAAAATTTTTCATCCTAGCCCCCCATAAAAATCAAATGGTAACTCCCTAAAGCAGAATGATTTACAGAATTTACATTGATGGATATACTAACACAGTTGTTTAAAAACAAAACATATGTTTTAGCTTTCAAATGTTTTAAACCATATTTTGAATTTGAAAAAGAAAGTTTTTTGCAGATAAAAATGCCAATTGCGAGATAAAAGATAGAACTTCATGTTTTAAAGACTTCAGCGATGAGGAGCTAAAAGGTAATTAAGACGTTTTAATATTTTTTCCAAGTAATGGACTTCTCGCACAATGAGAGCTCAAGTGTTTACATTACCAACATACCTTTATTTATATTAAGCGTCTTTATTCAGAGCGATACAATAATTTATCTTGAAAGTTGACTTCGTTCGACTCCACTTTACATATTATCTATCTTGAAAGTTAAACTCTTTCGGCTTACGTTACATATCATTTATCTTGAGAGTTAAACTCTTTCGGCTTACTTTACATATTATTTATCTTGAAAGTGAAATTCTTTCGATTCCACGTTACACTTATTCAGCCATGCTGGATCTAAAGTCATCACTCCTTGATTTTAAGATGCTGCAGAATTCGGAGTTGAAAAATATCATGAATTGTATAATGTGTTTTATGACATGCAGAAAGTTTATACACCATTTTCATCATCTACTGTCAACTTTTGATATATTATTTATGCTTAAACGAAGAAAAGAGAGGTCGAACAGCCACTTAATTTTAGATATACACTTGCGAATATTTCCTTTGTAAATAAAAATTCATAATATATTACTATTTATGAATTAAAGTAAAAAGGTAATAAATCAAAGTTGATAAGAATTATGGAAGTTTTTTATCAGTATCTTATGCTTGTGTAAGTGTAGCTTGAGAATGAACTAGTGTGTTATCATTTTTAACAGTATCTTATGCTTGTGTAAGTGTAGCTTGAGAATAAACTAGTGTGTTCTCATTTTTAGCAGTATCTTATGTTTGTGTAAGTGTAGCTTGAGAATGAACTGATCGTTCTCATTTTTAGCAATAGCTTATGCTTGTGTAAGTGTAGCTTGAGAATGAACTAGTGCGTTATAATTTTTAGCAATATCTCATGCTTGTGTAAGTCTAGCTTGAGAATAAACTAATGCGTTATCATTTTTACATAATATGGTATACTCTCCTGTTATCTCTGCGAAGCTTAGGAAACAAGCTCCCATATTTTGTTGACATGCTCTATTCATACTAGCATATACAAGTACTGGTGATTTTTATTGCAGATTTTCCACACCGAATATTGATGAGGAAAACAGTACTTTCGTATTGGTACAGAATAACATATTGAAAAGTAAAAGATTCACCCTAGTAGTTTCCCTGCTTTAAATTTTGATTACATATTTTCTTATATATGCGTTTCCTTCTTTTTTCTCGTAATTACAATTATTATCACGATTACATGATTTCGTATTTTGGAAAGTTATTACAGTTTTTGCGAAAAGGTGAATTGATATTGACAACGTATATGATATTTTTTAATTAACATTTATTTACATAGACTGTCGAAGTTGCATAATTAAATACTCGCATTTTCCCGTTCGCATTACATAATTGCATACATTAATATACAAAGTTACACAGGTGTTTTGAATTTGAATTAAATATTGACTGTTATTAGTACTTTCTTTTTCTTTTCTTGTCATTGCTTCGCAATCTAAGATTAATTTTTGGTTTATTCGCGATTTTCTTTGCCGCAAAACACCCAGCTGGTTAGTATTATAAGTACATTTTTTCCCATTACTGTCTCATTGTGGCAATATACGGATCTTAGTGTTTGTTAGTATAAAGCTGCTCCCAATTTTTTAATCTTCTTTCGATCAGAGTAATATTCATTTTTTAACCCCATGAATAGATGACGTCCCTAAAGTAAACAAACTGTACGTAAACATCCTTTTACTCATGTATTATTTCGACTATAAAAAAATGTTTCAACTATCAATTACGTTTGGCGGACAATGTGACAAAGTAGCTATACTTTTTTAATGTGATAGGAAAATCGTGTTTTCTAACAAAAAAAATATTTATAATGTTTAATTTAAAACAAACAGAAAAACGTTTGTACTTTTACCTCCAATCTCTATACTCTATCATCTATTCTAATATGACGTCCTTCTTTCGCTTTGGAAACAAAGCAATGTTCTAATTGCAATAGAACATGGCCTGCACGTGATTGACGTCACAATTGAAATTGCAATGTCAGTTGTATTGTGAACAACGCCGGGGGAACAAAATGGACATTTGTGTTAGTGGTACTCGCTACGAAGTTGAATAGAATTATTCTAGAAGTAAATTTACCTGTTTCTGTTCATTTTTTTATCGTGAAACGGTTGATTTTCTGAATATCGTTTTAACTTCATAAAATCAAAATGGCTACCTTTCTAACGTGTATTATAGGCCCGCTTCGAAGTACAAAAGTTCCAAATTTTCCTATTAAAATCGAAATTATTTTATCATGCCATGCTTTATGCTAATTTTAACATGGGTAGGCATTATATTTGTCAACATTTTACACCTCGCTAACGACATGTATAAAGATATTGACAAATATCATGCCTACCCATGTTAAGATGAGCATAGAGCTTGCACGAAATAATTATTTCTTAATTCTAATATGACGTCCTAATTACGCTTTGTAAACAAAGCCGTGTTCTTATTGACACATGTGCACACATTTACTGTTTATATTCTCGTTATTTTCATCCTAATATATATATATTAGCTGCTTACATAAAATGTTATTTTATATTGTTATCAAAACATCATATAGTCATCCTGCTATTAGTTTTTAAGCTTATCAAATATAAAAAAAGAAATGTACATAATTCATGGGGAGGAAACAGGAACAGCCTTACATTCCTAAGGTATTTTCGTGCGCTTCGACTTACTGTATAAAAATATCGTATTTGTCCTATCGGAATCGAAATTATTCCTTCATGTCATGCTCACTGCTCATTTTAACATGGGTAGGCATTATTGTTGTCAATATTTTACACCGCTTAGCATGACACGAAGGAATTACTTCTTAAACGATACTTAATTATTTGATACACAGCCGATTGAAATCGTGATATTTGTGTTTACTGTTGTCTCATATCGCATGTTTTAGTGTATTGAATAAAATTGTTTAGACCAAATGATAAAGTTATAAAACGTATGTCAAGTTTCTAGTTAACATCTTATTTCATTACCCTCTTATTCTTCTGCTGTATTATTGTAATTTAATATTTATTATTATTTTGATTAGATCTACCATGGAGACATTTTCGACGATCTTCGCCCCAAGGTGAACATGACCAAATGCTAGCCTTAGATCATTGCCAGGAAAAACTACAAGGATATGATTTTGTTGGGAATGTAGATTTTGACGAATTCATAGTACAGTCCAACCTACGAAGTATAAAGGACTATTTCAATGTAGGTTATCTGTTATTAAGATCCTTGTTTTGTCGAGCTTGAAACATTTGATCGCGGAAGCGAGACGTAGCGATCCTACATTCCGTCGTCGTCTGCTGCGGCGACGTCGGCCTAGTGGTCAACATTTTTTTTAAGACAACAATAACACTGAAACACCTTCATGGAATGTTATGGAACTGGGACAGCAGCTTTTGATTGAATAGAAAATGTATAATTATATATAATTTTCTGAACTTAAGCGTGTTGTCGGTTTCCTCGCCACTCCTGCACATGAGATATGGTAATATTAAGAAATTTCACTTGAAGAAAAAAATTAGAATTTTATAAATTGTAATAGAAGAAGGTGGATAACGAATGTCACGACCGTCTCCGCTTTGGACTCTTTTTGTTTCCTTTAACTTGATGCAAAAAAATCTCTTCCTGATATGAATCGATTCATTGAATATTTTCCTTTAACAGAAAACAAATTTTATATCCCCCCTCCCGTGTTCCTTTTCATGGTAATCTTACTATTATTCACTAAACCGTGGTGTTAACTTCTTATCGCATAGCTCAATGAAAAACTAAAATGATATTGAAATTAAGCCCACAACTCTTCCAATTTTTCTACCTGTGAATTCGACCACTTTGAATTCTTATTTATTTGTTTATTGTATATTCATAATTGATTTACGAGTTTTTAACATCAGTATTATCATTGTCTGCTATTTTCCAGTCAAAAACTCATGCACATGCTACATGTATATACATGTAGTTTATGTCAGCTTAACGTTTCATCTAGTTTCAGGAAACTATACTGCCAAAGTATTAAAAGGTTTCATCTTATTTCAGGATACAATATTGCAAAAGTGTTCAAAGGTTTCATATAATTTCAGGATACAATACGGCCAAAGTATTTAAATGTTTCATCTAATTTCAGAATACAATACGGCAAAGTATTCAAACGTTTCATCTATTTTCAGGATACAATACTGCCAAAGTTTTAAAACTTTTCATCTAATTCAGGATCCAATACTGCCAAAGTATTCAAAGGTTTCATCTAATTTCAGGATACAATACTGCCAAAGTATTCAAACGCTGCTGGATTTACCTTGAATCATTCATACTTTCTGGCAAACTGGGGAATTTCTGGAGATGGATTTCTACAAATGACACAATATACACAGAGAGTTAATCCTCGTTATGTTAATTATAAAAATGTTTACATTCCTAGTAGGACGGCAAGTACAACCACGCATGAACTTACTCCAAAATCCGGATTTAGAAGGTAAGGTAATAATAAGATCGGTCAAATTACATTTTCTATAATTCCATCTAGTAGTCAGCCATTCTGATATTCAAATTCTTAGAATTAAAATAAAAATGGCTAAATTTGTATTTGGAACGAACTGGTCTACTTGTATCTTTCTTTGTAGAATGCACGTGGCTAACCATCGAGTAAGAGTTCGTATTGTTTAAGTTCGAGTTATGATTTGAGTTTGATTCATTCTTATGCTCCTTCTATCCATGCATTAAAGGCGATTCGAATATGCTTCTTGTAATTGTTAATGTCCAGAACAAATAGAAATTGATACATACTTATCGGAAAATGAAATAAAAATATTTCAGTCGTTTTGAAAACAGAGGAAAGCATAGGAAGCCTTGCTTTTTTCTTTGTGTTTTAAATTATGTAAAAATATTACTGTTAATTAACAGACGGAGCATATTGAGAAATTTTAGGTGACTCATACTATATTGATAATATATCTTGCAAAAGATATCTTCCTTGTAAATTGCAAGTAATGAAAAACGAAGATGAAAGATACCAAATGGACATTCAAACTCATAAGTCGAAAATAAACTGACAACGCCATGGCTAAAAAAGAAAAAGACCAACAGACAAACAATAGTACACAAAACACAACATATAAAATAGACTGAGTAACACGAACCCCATTAAAAACTCGGGGTGATCTCAGGTGCTCCGGAAGGGTAAGCAGATCCTGCTCCACATATGGCGCCCGTCGTGTTGCTCATGTTAGTACAAAGCCGGTAATAAGTCTAATTCGGTTGGTCACATTCGGGGAAAAGGGGACGGGATTGTAGTTCGGGATTGTAGTTTCGACATTTGGAACATATCCGCTATCATCCGCTATATTCCCTATTAGTGAGTAAAAATGTTCTTCTATTTCAGAGTATATTTAAAAAGTCATCATATAGTAGTGCATCACTATAGAACGTGCCCACCTGTTGCATATTGGAGGAACTGTATGAACTTTACTAGATACGAAGATAAAAAAATGTTACAAATAAGAAAAGTAATGGAAGAAAGAGCATTAAATGTTAAAAGAGAACTTGGGCTGACATGAATAATTATATTTTTAATTGCATGCGGTGTTGGTGCTTTCCTTTTAAAGAAAAGAAAACAGTAACTCAAAACAAATCGAAGTTGGTATTTTAAAAATATCTCACAAATGATGTTCATATATTTCTTTTGAAAATATCTAATATTTGACCTTTTTCATTAGTTCATGAGTTCATATTTTCATCTGTGTTATTAAGGCTTGCACATTCCAGTTTGGTTTGCTGTATTATGTGATTAACAGTGCATCAATTGCACAACAGATTTCTTGAAGAATTATCGACAAAGATAACACAAAAAATATTTGACCGATTACCATGCCACATGTGGAGCAGGATCTGCTTACCCTTCCGGAGCACCTGCAGATCACCCTTACTTTTTGGTTGGGTTCGTGTTTCTCAGTCATTAGTTTTCTATGTTGTGATTTGTGTACTGTTATTTGTCTGTTTGTCTTTTTTTCTTTTTTAGCCATGGCGGTGTCAGTTTATTTCTGACATGAGTTTGAATGTTCCTTTGGTATCTTTCGCCTCTCTTTTAGTATACAGTGCGTTATGAAAAGGCACGTCGTTGTTTAAAACGTATTTCATGACCTGTGTATTAGTTTTTTCATACACAGGTTTTCGCCATTGCATGATGTCTTGAAATACTCATTTTATATATTCTTTTAATTCTATATTACCTGACTTTTTTATTTTATGTATATGTACGTTGTCACTGATGGCATTTACTTTAGTGACACAGGATTTAAAAATAAATATATGTGTTGTTCAGTCTAAAAGTTGTTTTTCTTCAGTCAGGATTCTACTTCGTCAAAAATATCTCCCATTACGCCACCTAATTTTTATAATTTTAAAAATTGAAGCCATTGTAGTGATGACAAGCTGTCAATTTAGCTCTTGAAATCCGATTAATTTATCCAAATAAAATCATTGCGATCCTTATATGCCAGTTGTATTTTAAAAGACAAATGTATCTACTGGCTATTGAGAATCATTTAATGTACTTTTATATATTTGGTCAACTTTAAACTATTGTCTGATCGGTTGTCAAGGGGGATTTTCGAAAGTTCAAAAATATTTTAATAATTCTAATTAAGTATTTCTTGGAAGGGCAGACTAAAAATTTTCAGCGAATGAGGTTTTTTTGAAGTTATGCATCTTAAAGATCCACTTGTAAAGTCTGTCGTCAAGTACTTTTAGTGAAAATTTGTTATTCGAACACACCTACTCTGTTGTTATGACTCATTAGAAAGCTACTTCACTTGACCCATATATTTCATTTTAAGTACTGTGAATTTTTAATGTTATATCAAACTATAGCCTAAATATATAAAAGAAACAGAATATGAAGCAAGATGATGTATGAAATATTTTCTTTTATAGGTTTTCAAGACAGAATGGTCAACTCAAACACGCCTGAACATAAAAAGGTGTACTCGGCTTTCTCTTTTCGATGAAATATTGCCCATTTTTGAGATTTTTTCCCAAAAAACTGTCGCCGCAGAGATGCAAATGATTGCTTTAAAATGATCAATCTATTATCTTTCTTTGGATTTTTTTTCGGCGGAATTTATGCTTATGCACAAACAAGATCCACATGTATTTGTACCTGCCACAATCGGCTGTTTTGTGAAAATTTGTCTATAATTTATAATTTTACAAGTATTTCGAAGCTCCATACCATAATTTAAGTAAAATACAAATATATAAGATTCATTAAAATTTAAGTTATGCACATTCATTAAACTTTTAAAGCCCATAGAAACAGATGTAAACAATTCAAATTTTCTGACTTGGCCATTTTAGCTCAACTGGCCCAAAGGGCCGGTAGTTTAAAGATGTGTCCGTCCGATGACACCGCCTGCCAACCAAGATGGCAGGCATGGCTGAAATAGGACTTAGGGGTAATATGCAAGTTTTGTCTATTATTTTTTGAACCGTTATAAAAAGAGAAAATCTGAAAGAAGCAAAAATGTTCAGAATTATGAGCTCTACCCATTGTCCAAATATGTCAAAACTGTTTGACAAATTCTTAAAGGAGTTATTGCCCATAAATGACAAATTTTGCCATTTTTTTTTTGCATTTTTGCCTATTACCATGTTAACTATGATATTTAGAGAGAAACATGTTTTTTTCTGTTATGCCTTATATGATTTAAATTATAATAGATAAATAAACACTTTAAATCACAAAAATTATCAGCAAGGCAAGATCCATTAAAAAGTCATATTTTGACGGTATAGATAGTAGACTGTCACTCTTCATAGGAGTGATTGTCCTTAAATGAGGATTTTTTTTTACCCTCTTTTGTGTTTTGAGCAGAAACTAAAGAAGATAGAAAGAAAACAATCGGACTAAAAGATCAGTAATACAAGATCAACAAAATAGAGATTTTCGTCATGAAGTGTATTCTCGTCTACAATGTTGGAGAGTGTCCTTTGTTTGATATATATATGCACATAGACCAAGGTGAGCGACACAGGCTCTTTAGAGCCTCTAATTTACCTTCTCTAACAAAGAATTCCATTTCTTTTGTTTAATTTCATCCGGGTTTCCGCTGTCCTTGATTTTGTCGGTCTCTCTTCGAAGAGAGGTTAAGCTAGCTATAAAACCCGGTTTAATCCACAAAATTCTACATAAGGAAATGCCTGTACCAAGTCAGGAATATGACAGTTGTTTTCCATTTAATGTATTGGAGCTTTTGATTTTGCCATTTGATAAACGATTTTCCATTTAGAATTTTCTTTGGAGTTCGGTATTTTTGTTATTTTACTTTGGATTTATGAGTTTTGATTCTCCCCTTTGGTATTTTTTACCCTTTTTTTAAATATTTCCCTATTACGTTAGAAATGTTATTTTGTTTAACAAGAGACGCAATCATTCACTTGGAATGGACCTGTCAGACGATTTTGCCTTTTCTTTGTTGAAGCATAAGACATGAAACGTTTGTCTCTTTATAACCACCAACTGTGTTAACCGTATCTTATCTATCTCGCTAAACTAGATTCAAGAGAAATGTGACGCAGAAAATATATTCACCACAAAATTAGGAAAGGTCACAACTATATATCCGTTCAATTTCGTCCTGCATACGGATATGTGAATCAAGTTTTTCCATGAAACCAAAGTGTACAATGAAATACAAGTGACATCACCCTATGATATTAACTTTAAATATAACATATGTCACAAAGACTGTTATTAAACAAGAAGCAATAACATTCAAATTTTCTATTCCTCTGAGTCATCTTTGTCATTAATATTGATATAGTCAGAATTTTAATGGAATGGTAACTATGTGAATCAATTTCGCCTTCTATCATTCTTAGCAACGAAAATCGTATGAATAATTAATCATACCAGTTTACAACGAAAGCCTATATAAAAGAGATCTATATTTAGAGTTACACAAAGGTAATGCTTTTCTCACAGATGACGACCACGAAAAATTAAAAACTAACAAAAAACTAATAAAAAACAAAAACAGTTCAATATTTCAGTTGTTCAAATCTTTTTACGGGGGTACATAAAACGTCCAAACTTTTTAAATGTTGCCATTAAAATTCTAATCAGCCAAAACGGACGAGCATAGGAGATTGGATATTACATAGGAGAAGTCAGTCCAGATGGCCACATTTCTATTTCCAAAGTGTTGGACAGTTAAAGGTGTAAAATTGCTCTAAGAGTCAGCTTACCGAGAGGGGTCCATCCAATACTACCAAGGTCACCTTTACAACATTAATTTGTAAAATGCAAACTTATTTACTGGTTAAGTATCACAATTAGCGTATTAAAACTTTGACAATTCCGAAGCAGTAAATGGTTTGCACATGATTCCCTGGGGTCTACATTTTCGTCTATAATGATAATATGTAAACCACTCCAATGTACCAATAACCTACATTTCAATAATCGTGATGATATCAAACATATATATCAAAATAATAAAATATTGCTTAATTATGTGTAAGAATTATACTACATTCAAATCTAATGCAAAGCAATTAATCCCTTGTAAGCATTTATAAATGAAATACTGAACTTTCAATACAAAAGTCTGAATATCGTAAACATAAGTTAACTTCGTAAATGAAATAATGAGAGAATAAATTATTATGAAAGCATAGTTATTTTGGTATCTAGTTCAGAAATCTAATATACCTACATTATTCTCATAGTTAGCTGTCGAATAACTGTCAACTTGGTTCTCTACACAATTACATCCTCATGTAAGTATTGCCAATTATTGGCAATGGAGAATTGCACTTCAGTAGACAAAAAGCAGTATAATGATCGAATTTATATCAAAGTAAAGTAAATATCAGTTTTTGTGGTCAGCATTATGGTTTTAAATCTTCATAAATGCATGAAGCAATGAGCCATACAAAAAACATATAATACAAGAAATTCGCAACACGTAGTAGAATCTAAGCAATAAAATAGAAAAAGTCCTTTCAAGATGTCATAATTATTTGGATTAAGACGGTAAAGTACCATTCTGAGCTGTATATTTCTTAAACGGTTTATACATTGTATAATATATTGCTAAGCAACGTTTAACTGTAAAACACTTCATCAGGATCAACACGTCTAAACAGAACATCTGAAATCACTGAAGGCCATCCTTGTTAAAAAGAACGCCTGAAATCGTTGAAGGTCAACCTTGTTTAACAGAACATTTGTAATCATTGAAGGCCAACCTTGTTAAACAGAACATCCCAAATCATTGAAGGCCATCCTTGGTAAACAGAACATCCTAAATTATTGAAAGTAAACTTTGTCAAAACAGAAATATTCGTAATCATTGCAGGCCAAACTTGTTAAACAGAACATCTTATATCATTGAGAGCCAACCTTGTTTAACAGAACATTCGTAATCATTGAAGGCCAACCTTGTTAAATAGAACATCCTTAATCATTGAAAGCCAACCTTGTTTAACAGAACATTCGTAATCATTGAAGGCCAACCTTATCAAACAGAATATCCTATATCAATGAAGGCCAACCTTGTTAAATAGAACATCCTTAATCATTGAAGGCCAACCTTGTTAAATAGAACATCCTTAATCATTGAAGGCCAACCTTATCAAACAGAACATCCTATATCATTGAAGGACAACCTTGTTAAACAGAATATCCTATATCAATGAAGGCCAACCTAGTTTAACAGAACACTCGTAATCATTGAAGGCCTTACTTGTTAAACAGAACAACCTATATCATCGAAGGCTAAACTGTCAAACAGAACATCCGAAATCATTGATTACCAACCCTGTAAACAGAACGTCCGAAATCATTGAAGGCCAACCTTCTTCTACGGGATTTGCAACCTTAAGTTTTATTACATTTTTAACAGTTAATGAACTGAAAATGTTCAATAAAGTGCATTATTTAAATCATATTAACACATACATTCATAATACTCATGTTTTTCCTGTGGTTAATTAATTTTATTTTTTTTATTTCCCCCTTTTTTACAATGCACCACACAACAGATGTCTTGACTGTTAATTTCGATATTTTTAAAATGACTTGCATGTCGACAATACAACTATATTTACATCTTAATAATGTTCATAAAAGGAGTAATGTATTACTACAAAACAGCACTCAAACACCTAACCATTTAAATTGTAGATCTTTTATACAAAAGAGATCCAAACTAAAACAAACATTAAAGGACAATTACATCAGTTCTCATAAACTCTCAAAAGAGGGCACCAAAAGATCATGTCATCAAAACAAATGAACCATTTCATCAATGTTTAGATTCCTAAA